CCAAACAAACCAACAGGGACAAGAGGCAATCAGGAACCGAGGCCGAGAGGAGCAAGATAAAAAAAACAAATCCTCTCCAAACTGACTCTCAGCCGACCCCTCGCCAACCCACGTCCCAAGAGCAGAAATGTTGCACAAGACCCATCTACTTCGCCCTCTCCTCGCCCTCACCCTAACCCTTAGACCTAAAAAGAAATAAAAAAAGAAGAAAAAAAGGAGACACGAACCCGCGTCACGACACTTGTCCAAGAGGACCTAAAGAGGGGGTGGAGGGGAGGGGGAGAACAGACATCCCCATTGCCCCCCCCACCTCCTGACGCCCCTCTCCTCTCCCCTACCCTCGTCAGGATACCCATATGAGCCCTGCCAAACCAGTACCCTGAGGATGACGCCTTATAAGGGCTTTCGGCTTCCCTCCTTTTCTCTCTCTCTCTTTGTTGTTGTTATTTCTGTTCCCTCTTTCTCCATGCTTTGATGCTTTTCTACTTTAGTTATATTATTGTTTACTTCCATTTATCTTCGTATGTTGTTTACCATTTTCTTCATCCAGCTTCGTATCCCCTGCTCCTCTCATTATATTCCTACTCCTATTCTTAAACATATACTTGGATTTTTTTTAATGTCTTCAATTTTTTCTTCTTGTTTTCCGCTTTTTATCATGAATGATATCCGTAGCAGTAAACGGCTGTAGTATCAACAAGTACTGTAATCAACACACACACAAAAAAAAATCTGATTTACATACCCGTTCTTATTAACATATCATTACCGTTTTGATGGTCCCCAAAGCAGAACACCAGCCATAATCTCACAAGTCTTACCACCATAGCCTACGTCGCCATAACACCAACAACGAACAAACAAACTACAGAGCCCTCAGAGGAGACCCCCCCCCCTCCTTGCCCTCCCTACATCACCCCTCTGTCCGCAATACCCATCCCCCCCCCCCCCATCTAATACCCTAGAACAAGGCTCCCTCGATTACCTGTCGGACCGGTCGCCTCTACCCTCGTCCCTCACCCCCCGGAGCGTCTTTAAAGAGGGGGAGATGGGGGGGGGGGACGAGGAGGAGAAGGAGGAGGAGGAGAAGAGGGAGATGGAAAGGGAAGGAGGAGGGGGTAAAGGAAGGAGGGTATTCTCCCCCCCCCCCCCTTCTCCGCGGTCAGCTGTGAGGTCGTGTCCCTTGGGGTAATGACCAGTTACCCCTCCCTGTCCACACCCCTCCCCATATGCCCCCATCTCACCCCTCCCCGCCATACATATGCCCGTCCCCACCCTTCTGCCCGTTTACCCACCCTGAAGGTCTCTATGTCACTTTTTTGGCCTGAGGGAAAGTCGCTTTTTTAAGATTGTTTTTACTTGAGACTTCTTCCTTTTTCGTCGGCGTCGCCACCATCAGTATCTTTAGTATTCTTACGATATAATAAATAACTCTTAATACTATAACCACTATGTTCAGTACAAATAGCATCATCGCTATCTTCGATATTTATTTATACGATATCGTGGATCATTATCACTGTTTTCTTTTAGCTTTTTTCTCTCCTTTCTCTCCATCCATGCCTATCCTCCTCCTCCTCCTCCTCCAGCTCTATTTCTTTTTATAACCCTCTTGTCCCGCGAGTTGGGTGGGTACGAGTACCACTTGGCTGACCTTTATTGCTATCTCTCTTCTCCTACTTTCTTCTGCTTCCCTTTTTTCCCCTACTTTTCATCTGTCTGTTTTTTCTTTGTCCTCCTTTTATCTATGTCCTATATCTAATATTTTTTTTGCTGCTTATCTCTTTCTCTCTCCCTTATTTTTTTGTTTGTGTTTATCTCTCCTCTCCCTCTTTTGTTTTTTTTACTCTCCTTTTATGGTCTTTACTCGTGTTTATTCTCCTAACTCTCTCATTATCCATTCGCTAATCCCATTTTCTTCTTCATTTTCAAAGAAATGACTCTATTAATCTTACTCGACTATTCACCCGCCCCTCTTCCTCTCTTTATCACATTGCGTCCTCTACCCTTCCTATCTTACTTTCTTCCACTTCCATCTCTTTTACTGTCCACTTCTTTCCTCTCCATCTCTCTCCTCCGTCTCTTTCCTCCCCCACCTTTTATCATCTCTCGTCTCTATCCCTTATCACCCTTCCCATCTCTCACTCTATCTCCTTCCCATCTCTAATTATCTCTCCTCCTATCACCTTCGCACCAGAACCTCCCTGGCCAGAACCACTCTCTGCAACAGCCTAAGAGTGCCGTGACGCCGCCCCGAGGAAGGCGCCGCCCGCCGCCCGCGATCTGAAGGTGCCAGTCTGCGAGGGCCCGATGGGGGGGTCCTGGAGCTGGGGAAGGGGGAAGGAGAAGGAGGGGATGAGGGAAGGAGGAAGGAGGAAGTAGGAGGAGGAGGAGGAGGGGGTAGTTGGAGGGGGAGTGGGAGGGGCGGAGAAAGAGGGGAGGAGGCAGGAGGGGGTGGAGGACGAGGCACAAGACGCAGGGCGTGTCAGTAAGAGTGAAG